CTGCAACGACAACGACAACGACAACGACAACCACAACAACAACAACAACAACAACAACTACTACTACTACTACTACTACTGCTACTACTACTACTACTGCTAGTACAGCTGCAGCAACTGCAACGGCCACAGCAACCGCAAGAACAGCCACTACGACTTCGACTACAACTGCCACTACGATTTAGATTACTTCTTGGGCTACGACAGCTACAACTACGGCTACGACGACGATTACTACTACCACTGCTCCTAGTTGTGCTGCTATGGCTGCTGCTGCTGCTGCTACTGTGCTCCGTATGCCACACCTGAGGCCCTAAGTCTAAGCCTTGAGGGCATTAAGCCAGACCGCAGATCTCCATACTTGAGGTGACGGTCAGCCGATTCATGGGAGTCTCGGCAAGATTTGTCATTGGTATTATCCCGGCAACTAAGCACTAAGCACAGACATTCGCCTGAACCCTAAGTCTGAAATCTTAAGGTGGGATGCCAGGCATTGTTCACGAGGTGAGGGTATCGCAGGGTTAGGACGGTTAGGGATTTGGGGTTGCGCACATGCCCTCGAACCCCTCAATGAACTCCACGCTCGATGCCCTCAACAAACTTCGGTTCGAACAGACCAGAAATGATGCATACCCCAAACATCAAATGCACTCGATGACTTCGTAAAATAGCAACGTACAGTAATTACCTTTGATGAAGCACTGGGGGTAAATCTAGCCATAGCACAGAAAATCCTCTGAGGACTAAACCGAAAGGGTAGCCAATGCACACACTCCACCAAGTTATATATATATATACATATACACAGATTATTTCTTAGAGGCCCCGAGACAAAGCCTCCCTTGTCCTCGTGATTCCCAGTCTATACAATTGCATTTTTTAGCAGGGCGTCAGCCACCGATTCGGCCCTGATGTAAACAACCCAAGACTCGAAACCTAGTGTCTGGACCCTGCATGAAACAATCATCCAAGTTTTCAATACCTTTTCCAAAGCATTACATGGAGACCCTGTTAGGTCCCATCGTCGGTCGCTTCCTGGTAGACTATGGGGGCCGCCACCGGGCGTCAACGTTTCTCAGGGTCAACGGTTGGGGTGCATTTGGGGTTCGCTGGGGTTCCGAGCCTTAGTGTCTTTGACCTGTTACAAGTAGTCTTATCGCAGTGGAGGCGACTGGAGTGCAGCGAACACGTGTGAGATGGACTGCCAAAGTGCCATATGGTAAAAGCATCTCTGTAGTTTCGGATACCCTGGCACAGCCAACTTCCGTAGCGCAGCAACTGAGGCTCTTGAAGTGAAGTTTCGGTGTGTTGAGTCGTAACTAGATCAGTAGGTTCGCTGTAGAGAGGTGCTTGCTCGGTTGGAGCTTGCTGGATGCTTCAGACCGTTTTCGATTTGTTGTTATGTGGTTCAGATTGTTCACTGATACAGCAGTTTAAGTGTGGGGGGAGCGTTGGTAAGGCTGTGTGAGAGTGTGGTACTTCTGCTGAGTTGATCGAGATGAAGGGTTGAAGAGGGATGCCAATGTGGCACGGAACTAGTCGAGCCAAGTAGAAATGCAGCGCAGCACCTGCAATCGCTGTACTTACTGATACATTTGTTAAATGTAATATGTTGTTCATTGCGAGTGCATGTTACATGTTCTGTATCTGGGACCATCTACATCTTTATTTACTTCGCCTTCGCTTGTCACGATCTTTTGTCATCCACGAATCAAGCCGCTCCGAGGAAACGTCTACGCAGTAGCCCAGCTGGTTATGTGCTTGATGGGAACGAGGACCTCCGGCCAGCAGTTGAAAGTTGACACTGGTTTATATAATGGTCCGTACCTACACTCGCCCGAGTGCGGCGCATCCACCTGCGGACAAGCTCGCACACATACAAACGAACACGACCTCGCCCCTTCAAACAGCTGCGAAGCTGAGGAGGCTTTTGCTAGCATCGCACCCGTTGCGTGACTTCGCGCAGGATGCTCAATTCGGCTTCTTGTGTGCGGAAGGTAGTTGGGGTCGTTTCCAACGGTTTAACGGCTGTGCATCTCAAGCCAGTCAGCTTGCTGGGCCTAACATACCATCCCCAGTGTCTTCCTGATGGCGTCACGCCCGAAAGGAACAATTATTGAAAGCGGAAGCGCAGCAGTGGATCAAAAAAGATGTGCCTGCATCAACAAGATCTTAAGGTTCGATGGAACGATCGACTATAGTAACTGCTATACCAGGCTGATTTTGACTTCTTCTTCGCTGTCGGTGTGGGGAGTCGCCCGAAACGCCTTATCAACCACTTGATAAGTTTGGACTGCCTGCATGACTTGGATCGCATCCACCAAGTTCTCTTCCCGGATTCGAGGCCAACGATGTGCGATGGATCTAGGTCTCCACAGCCCGCTACGTAAGTCATGTACCACGGCACCACCCAACGAGCTGCAGCACGGATCGAGAAGGATGGGTTTGCTCCATCCGAGGAAGGCATGCTGGGAGAGGGTGTCTATGTTTCCAGGCATATCGAGAAAGCTAAGAAATACGGTCCTGTGGTGCTTGAGGTCGCTGTTAAGGTTGGCCGTGTCAAGCGGATCGACAGGCAGGGTCATCCCTTGCAACAGTCCTGGTCGCAACACGGCTACGACACTGCATGGGTACCTCCCGGTTGCGGAATGTTGCGATCCGGTCAGGAAGAGGACTGCGTGCTTGATCCAGAGCGTTTGATGGTTCTTCGTCGTGTAAAGGGATAGGTACGCTCAAAATGTGGGAACTGCAGACGTGCCTTCCCCTCGTCGGCAAAGTGCCGTGAAGCCCGTCAAGCAAGAGCGGAGGTGGAAAGACAAGCTTGCGCAGATTCTTTTGCCGTGGTGTTTTGCGGCCTGACCAGTCATTAGACCAATGCTGGCTTTACAATGGCTGTAACAAGCCAGGTCCAGGTCAATCCAAGTCAGCAAATGCAGACGCAGACGGGGCACACCAGCCCTTGGTGCCTACTCAACCTGCTGCCTTCAAGAACGAGTTTGTGCTCCAGCATAAGAGTCAGGCTTGAAGGCCAGACCTGTGACTCTGCTGAAGACCAGTTCAGCCTGGCAGACATCAAAATCGAGCCGGCGGATCTTGCTGGATTGCTCGCTGTCACGTATTACGAACCAACGAGAGTAGAAAGAGGAAGACACAACAAGTCGCTCATCGCCAGCAATTAACCCGACAAGAGAGCACAAGACCTCTTCTTTAACATGGTTCTGGGCCTTCCATTTTCTTCATGACCTCTACTCTGCACAAATAATTGCTCAGAGCAGGTGCTGAGAGATAAGCACAACACTCGCTTAAGAGGCTGCTGGTTTCCATAAGAGTGTCCCGTCAACCCATGTCACCTGATTGAACCTTGGTCGAGGACGGTTTACAAGACGGTGGGTCTTATCTGGCGCTGGAACCGCGCCAACCCCCAGGTGAGTGTCAAGGACACGGAGGCCGTTGGTACCAAATGTTGGTTCGCCGACTGTTGCAGAAGCTGTGTAACTGGGTATGCTGGTTAACCCTCTTAAACCTTCTCAGCCTGGTTCTACTTGTAGCCGCACAAAGCCTTCAACATCATATAATATAGCATCATCACATTGTCCCCTTTCAGCATGACGGTCATCGGCGGAGCCCGCCTCACGTAGCCAACACCCAAGACAGAATTGACTTCAAGGTTTTCTACAACCCAAGCCCAGAGTGTTTCATGTCGAGAGAACACCCTTGGCAGGTCCCCGCTGCGGAGAAGCTTCTGAAGGGCGAGGTGGCCCGAGTTTCTTTGGCAGGTTGAGCTCTAGGATTTCGGCGTTTCGACTCTCTCTCCTGCCTTCTGGGATGTATTTGGTTTATCTGGCTGATGCTGTTCGTGGCGCCGTATGGGGAAGTTGTTCGCGAAGTCAGATCATCTACTACTACTGTTACTACTACTACTGCTGCTGCTGCTACTGCTGCTGCTGCTTCTACTACTACTACTACTACTACAACTACTACTACTGCTACTGCTACTGCTGTGCTACTGCTACTGCTACTGCTACTGCGACTGCGACTGCTACTGCTACTGCTACTGCTACTACTACTACTACTACTACTACTACTACTGCTGCTACTACTACGACTGCTACTGCTGCTACTGCTGCTACTACTACTACTGCTACTACTACTGCTACTACTACTGCCACTAATACCACGACGACGACTACGACTACGACGACGACGACGACGACGACGACTACTACTACTACTCCGTTTAGGACTATTGCTGCTACCACGACAATACATATTCAGGTTCTAAGTCGTGTTAAACACCGCACCATGTCGCAGATTGCATTAGATAGGGGTGGGGGCAGACCACCCGGATTCCGACGAGCAGGAGCAGTCCAAGATCAAGAACGGATCTCCGATCGAAGCCGCGCCGGAAGACCAATGAAGGCACGATTCCGAAGATGCACATTGCACAGTCGTGTTGGCTCGTTGGCCTTCAGCCACGAGTAGCAGCAGTTGTAGCAGCGGCATTAGTAGTAGCACAGCAGTTGCAGTAGCGGTAGCAGTAGCAGTAGTAATTAGCAGCAGTAGTAGTTGCAGTAGTAGGAGTAGTAGTAGTCGTCGTCGTCGTCGTGGTGGTGGTGGTGGTGGTGGTGGCGGGGGCGGCGGGGGTGGTGGTGGTGGTGGTGGTGGTGGTGGTGGTGGTGGTGGTGGTGGTGGTGGTGGTGGTGGTGGTGGTCTTATTACTTTCTCTCTTGTTATTATTACTACTGTTGATGATATAAACCCTGCATAACCCT